AAAATTGAGAAAAGATATAGTGAGAAAAGATACAAATAAAATAAAGAAATCGCAAAAAGTTAGAAATAAAATAAGAAGGAATTACAAAAATAAATAAATTTAAGAAAAATTGAAAAGTTTATATTTTTTTTTAAAAAAATTACGATTTTCCTTTTTTGAATGGGAATTTTCCTTTTTTGATTGACCCTTTTCCTTTTCTTTTGGGAATTTTCCTTTTTCGATTGACACTTTTCCTTTTTTGATTGGACCTTTTCCTTTTTTGTTTGACACTTTTCCTTTTTTGACTGAACCTTTTCCTTTTTTGTTTGACACTTTTCCTTTTTTGATTGGACTTTTTCCTTAACCTTTGGGACTTTTCCTTTTTTGATTGGGACTTTTCCTTTTTTGGATGGGAAACCCTGTATATCTTAATTCATAAGGCCAAAAAAAACAACATTGACAATTAATGAATAACAATAAAATTAAAAAACGAAACGCGCGAAAAACGCTTTTTAAAATAAGATTTTTATATATCATGGTTCAAACGTGATAATGCCGTATAGTTCTTTATCCTTTAAAAATTGAAATTTTAAAAGGATCACTTTAAATCCAGTGAAGATCCCGGATATTATAATTATAATCCCTTTAAAAATTACGACATATGTATGATGAAAAAAAAACGTAAAGAATTGTTAAAAAAATGGACCTAAATTTATAAATTATTTTTAAATATACAAAAGAAACATCAAAAATGAGAAGAAAAAAAATTGAGAAAAAATATAGTAAGAAAAATAAATTGAGAAAAGATACAAATAAAGTAAAGAAATCGCAAAAAGTTAGAAATAAAATAAGAAGCAATAACAAAAATAAATAAAATTTAAGAAAAATTGAAATATTTATAATTTTTTTTAAAAAAATTTTAAAAAATTACGATTTTCCTTTTTTGAATGGGAATTTTCCTTTTTTGATTAACACTTTTCCTTTTCTTTTGGGAATTTTCCTTTTTCGATTGACACTTTTCCTTTTTGATTGGACCTTTTCCTTTTTTGATTGGACCTTTTCCTTTTTTGTTTGACACTTTTCCTTTTTTGATCGGACTTTTTCCTTTCATTTTGGGAATTTTCCTTCTTTGATTGACACTTTTCCTTTTTTGTTTGGACTTTTTCCTTTTTTGATTGTATCTTTTCCTTTTTTGATCGGACCGTTTCCTTTTATGATTGAAACTTTTCCTTTTTTGATTGTGACTTTTCCTTTTTTGAATGGGAAACCCTGTATTATCAAATTAAGAGTTTATTAATATTTAGTTTTGCTCAAATAAAGCATAAGTTTATTTTCAAGCATACCAAAATAAAATACTTTTTCTTCATAAATGTTTTTGAAAGATAAATATTAAAAGTAAAATTTAAAAAAGACATTTGTATTCCTCAAAATTTATGAAAGATAGAATAAAAAAATTCATTAATCGAATGCTAAGCCAATTAGAATATTGAGCGATATTTAAATTGTTTAAACCTAAGATTGCTAGTTGATTTAATAAAATAATAAGCAGATTCAAATTTACTTAGCGAAATTTATATTATTTTAATTAACAATAGAAAATATATCCCGTTTAAGATTACAAATTTTAGCAAAATTATGTAACTACTTTTTAAAAAAAACTAATCTTCGAATGAAAAAAAATATAAACATATATACCCCTATCCCTGTAATTTCCTGTTGTGACTGTGAGGTAGAAAATTCATCTAACGATAAGCTTGAATCTATTAAAATATTTTAATTTAAAAAAAATGATTAGTCTATTTCCTCCTATTTTTTTAAATAATAATTTTTTTTATCTGTAATTGTATGTTTAATTTATTTACAAATTATAAATTTGTCTGTTTTTTTCATTTAAACTTAATGCATGGTTATCTAAGCATAAATAATATAAAATAATAATTATAAATAAAAAATATAAAAAATGAATAAAACTTTGCAAAAGGTAATATTTCAAATAAGAGTTACAAATTAGTGATTTTAAATTTTCGGTTGTTGCCACTCTCGAGGGTATATTATTTTTTTTAATGTTATCTTTTTTTTAAAATGAATATATCATTTTTTATTTAAAATATTTTAAAATAGTTGGTTCCATTTATTTTTTACATAATATAATTCCTTCCATATAGACTTAATATTATTTACTTTTTTTTATAATGAATATTTTTAAAGTGTATATACTTAAAATGATCAAGCAGCTTATGAGTTTTGTCTAAATAACCAATTAATATCGTCAGGAATAGAATATACTTGTTGGATTTCATAATGTGCGGGTAGAAAAAAAAACAAGAAGAGTTTGGGATACCGGTGCAATAGGTGTCGTATATTATATTCCTAAAGTTGCTAAAAAAAATTTATTAATACGATCTTCCTTCTAGCTTGAGCCTGAGTCAATTTTCGACTCATAAACTAGCTGAGTTTTAGCCGTTTAACAACACTAATCATAAATAAATAAATAAATTTCGGCTCAAAATCGGCTTGAGCCAACTTTTTATCCGGCTTGAGCCGACTCATATGGCTCAATGAGCCGGCTTTAGCCTGAGTTAAATTTTCGACTCAAAACTGGCTGTGTTTAAGGCTAAGCCGGCTTGACTCAGCCATTAAAAACACTATTAACAATACTAATCTCAAATAAACAAATTTCGGCTCAAAAGTCGGCTTGAGCCAACTCCGTAGCTTGAGTCTACTCATATGGCTCAATGAGCCCTTAAGCCTGAGTCGAATTTTTGACTCAAAACTGGCTGAGTTTAGGGCTACCGGCTTGGATCAATCATTTAACAACACTATTAACAATACTAATCTCAAATAAATAAATTTCGGCTCAAAAGTCGGCTTGAACCAACGGCTTGAGCTGACTCGAGCCAACCTACTAATATGGCTCAATGAGCCGGCTTGAACCTGATTCAATTTTAACTCAAAAACTAGATGAGTTTAGCGCTAAGCCGGCTTGACTCAGCCGTTTAACAACACTAATCTCAAATAAATAAATTTCGACTCAAAAATCGGCTTGAGCCAACTCCTTGGCCGACTTGAGCCTGAGCCGAATTTTCAGCTCAAAAACTGTCTGAGTTTAGGGCTAAGCTGGCTTGGCTCAGCCGTTTAACAACACTAGTTAGGGAAGCCGGCTATTATTCCATCATCAATATACCAAGAGTGTAAATTATGCTTGCATCGGTTATCGATGTCCTATCATTTTATTCCAAGACAAAAATAATTGGCCTAAGTGGGTCACTCTATTTGGTACCTTCTAATGATGGAATTAGTTTATCTCCAAATACCAAATATGTTGTCTGGAGTAGCAGTCCGGAAGGAGCTGGAAAAATTCAGGATAATAAGAGTGACCCGACATGAGAAATTCACTGCGTCTTAGGGAAATTTTGACAAGAATGTCATCAGAGAGATTGGTATTTAGATGCACTCGAGTCATGTAAAGGGCTGCTTTGCATCTGCCTTTAACGTTAATTCCCAATCTGGAGATTATATAGCGTGATATTGAAAATTGCACCAGACTCATTACTAATTAGGAGAGTAATCTACGCCATGTGATGAATGACTATAGGTCTAAGGTCTTTCTTAGGTTTGTGAAGAATTGTAAGCTTGACCCAAATATAATATTCGGAATAACTGAGGGAAAGCATACGGTTGATGAGCTGGGTTAAGGATAGCAGTATAGTCAGGTCCTGAAGGAATATAGGATGGATTCCGTCAATTCGAGGGGAAGAATCGCCTCTTAAAGATAGTTTTTATTGGGTTATGGAATTCATTGGGATTCGGAATCTCTTAATATTAAATCATTTATTGTGAGAAGTTTTTGAATCCATGAAATCTTATTTGACCGGAAATGTATTCCATCATACACAGGGTAACCACACTCTGAATTTCAAACAATTTTTCACAAAAATATTGATATACATTTAATTTATATCCGTTTATATATAGATTTTTCTTATAAATTGAAAAATACACAAAAGTTTATTGCGAAAATTGTCTGAGTTTTATAGAGTAGGTAGTTTAGACATGCTGGAATACATTTCTAGTGAAATCAGATTTTTCAATTTAAAAATCGCCCTCAATAAATGTTATGTATTTTAGGGATTTCGAATTACCATGGATTCCATATCTCAATTCGTCCTTTTTATCTAATTACATGATTTTTAGTATGAAAATTTATGGACGATATCATGTAAAATTAAGGAATATTTATATACGTGCCCAACAAAAATATTGAAAAATAAAACTTTTTGCTTCTCTATCTTCAATGTAGCTATATAAAATAATATTAAAAAAAATAAAGAAACTTTTTTTGACTATATAAAAATTTAAATTATAATAAAGATAAAAGAGATTCAATTTATCACTTTTGAAATACAAAAATTTTTGGCGAGGAAGCTCGGTCCCTCCTTTAGAAAAGGTTACTAAAAATTAAAAAAATAGCGGTGGCTTAGCCCTCCGTGATACTCCTGGGTCACACCCAAATTTTATTGCAATTAGGTGGAAAAACAAGATATAATTTCTTTGTAAACCATGAGTTGCAGAGTTTATTTCGATCTCAACTTTATAGCCTATTTTATTAAAGTAATTTACAAATATATACAATAAAATTATTCGATTTTATATCCATCTTTTTGATTATATTTTAATTCAATCTTATGGTATTGGTATATTTATCACACTAATCATGAATGGAATGAATTAATAATAATTGTATAGACCCTTTTTCCAATTATATATTTATGCTCGGTGGAAATATATGAAATTTAATTTCATCTTATTCTAATTTAAAAAATAATGATAAGATATATTTTTTCATATAAAGTGTTTTCTATCTAAAGATACTCGTATTTAGCTAGTTAAAGTTACAAGTATCTTATCTTTTTAATATTTTAGTATCTAAAAGATATTTTTTATAATATCATTTAGTTCCTTTTTGTAAGGACCTGCTCATCTCTGATATTGGATATAATTGTTTAAATTTCTTTTTCAAGACTCCTAATCGATGGGTTCGTTGATAAAGCAAAATTATATGATTTTGATGAACTTACAAATGGTTTAAAATTTCCAATCAAATCACATGCTGCAACTTTGATGTGTGCTGGGAACAGAAGGAATGAAATGTCCAAGCTAAAAAAAGTTAAGGTAAAAACTGATAGATTTATTTAAATTTATTTTTCTTATACCTTTTTTAATTACAAGAGTCAGAATTAAAATAACAAAAAATTAAATCGAACTAAATAATTACGAAAAGCAGTTAAACCTGTCTAATTAGAGCTCTTGAAAATTCGGACAACTTCATAATTTGAACAAAATGATGAGTCTCAATCAATTTTTTATTAACTATGAGTAGAAAATGCTTTAATAAATTCGCCACTACCTACTTTGGAAAGTGGGCAGATTTTAATTATTTTTCCATAGCGTAAAACCTCTATAAAGTGGGTATTTATTATTTTTTGTTGCATTCATTCATTTATATTATAAATTTTTAATCTTTATAAAACTATTCCTGATAATGACAAAATTAATAGAAAAGAAATATTACGAGTTATCATTAATTTAAAAAAAATAGGTTATTAAATTTCTAAATCATCATATTCAAAGATAATTGCTAAAAGATTTAATATTTCTAGTAACTGTTCACAATATTCATAAATCCATATATATAATGTGTGTTAGGATTAGTGTTGTTAAAGGCTCGATTTGAGTCGATTTTTGAAAACGGCTAGCTCAATATATTGTCCAAAAAAATATTAGGCTAACCTAAAGATTGGTCACATTTGACAATATATTTCTGGCGAAATGAGTTAGCCGTTTTTAAAAATCGGCTCAAATCTAGCCATTTAACAACACCAAATAAGGATGTTAAATACAGCCAAGTCAACACCTTTTTTATACCACACTGTAATTTTCTAAACAATAATCACTGATGTTTTTAAGTGTAATAAATTTTTTTTTAAGTTGAATTACGCTGTCGCCTCCGATTTACTATATATTATCCCCCTAGGACGGAACCACCAAGTAATTTCAGGGAAAAATATGACCCTTGCTGGATTACTCAGAACTGTCGATTTGGCAAGCCACGCTCTTATCGATTAGGCCACAGACACTTTCAAAAATTACGTTTTAAAAAAAATATTATAACCAAATGTGGCAGTTTCGATCTAAATGAAATAAATAAAATGCCAATTCGTTGTACTTGGTTTTAACTAACATTAACCTATTATATTAACATAGATGTTATTTTTTTAAACCTTTAAATCATATTTTGAGGGCGTTTTTTAAATATTAAAATGGGTAAATCCATACCAAATCGATAACTTTTCGACCCGACTATTTTAATTTTGATAAAATTTACATACTAGAGAACATTATTAGAGAGCGTCGAATCCAAAATTTTAGCCTTCTAGTACTAATAGTTCCATAAGTGCCAGAAATTACCTTTTTTGAAAAATAAGATTTCTTAAAATTGAAATAAGTTTAAAAATAATGGTGCTAAAAATAAAAAATGTGTCATTTTCTAACTCTATTAAATAATTTTTAGTAAATATTGATTTTATGTTTATAAACTTAAAACTTTTAAGCTCCAAGTGCTACGCTTTATTCTTCTAATTCAATATTTTATTATTAATTTACATTACAGTGAAATGAGTATCATTATCAGTGGCGTAGCCATGATTTTTTCATAGGGGGGGGGGAGGTTAAAAAAAATTTCTAGTGGTAAGATACTAATAAGCTCTCTCATAGAATCACGCCCATTATAAGCTCCTTTGACTATTTTATAATGTATTACACCTCCAATTCCAATTGTACAAAGTATGCTTACATTTTTACCCTTAGAGGATGGGATTTTATTATTGGTTGGACATTGTATGGCGCCCAGGCGTAGATTGGTACAACATGCAAGTTTATTCCGATTCCATCTAGGAAATATAATTTTTCTCTTGAGATATAGATTTGACGAATATTAAATGCACTAGGAGTATTTCTTCTATCAGGCTCCTTGCCAGCTCTTTTTTTAGATCAACCTATGATATATTTACTAATGGTTGTTTTCGTTGTTGGACTACCACAGTGGCATATCTAGGATTTTCTTATAGAAGGGGGGGGGATTTTTTTGGGGGCTTCGCTTCCAAACCCCTTTTACCTGGCCTTTGGCCAGCTTTCCCACGGCCTTCGTCCGGGTGTTATGTTTTAGCTATTCTATTAAATTATTCATAATTTAATAATAATTATATTTCTATTTTTAACTATTATTTAATAATTCTTGCTTATGGATATTACAAGCCTATTTTTTATTATTTCAAGTTAGGTATATTATATTTATTAAAGTTTTTTTAAATGTAAAGTTGAAATAAAGTGTAATGTCATTTTTTTTTATAAAATTTGCTTTAAAAACTAGCCTCAGCTTAAATTCTCATACAATATAAGTAGAATATAATTTTTTTATTGAAAATACTAATAGTAGTGTGTATAAAATATTGACTAGAAAATAATTAAATTAACAAGTTTTTTTTAACTTCTTAACAAATACAATATTATACAAAATATTTTCTATAATTATAATGTGATTTTTAATTTTCGTGGGAATGTTGCCAATTCATCAAGAATTTCTTTTGTCGTTGGAACCAAATCTCTGTGGATATTTAACAAAGCTAACCCATTTAGCCGAGATTCAGTACTTCGTAAATATGTTTTCAACCTTCTCAAGTTGGAAAAATCCTTTCATTCGTAAATGTTGTAATAGGCAAACATGCAAGAATATAAAACAACTTCAAAATATTAGGAAATTGAGCCAAAGTTTCTTTACACCGATTGAGCGCATCAATAGCATGCTCAGGTAAAATAGCTAAACGTAGTAAATATTTATACCACAATTCGAATTCACTGATTAAATTTATTTCAGTATCAATCTCATAGGAATAAAATTTTGCTAAATATTTAATTTTATCAATAGTGGCATTAGAAAACGAAGAAGGATCTTTGGGTAATAAAACTTGAAGATTGCTAATGTACTTTTATTTGCGATAAAAAAGTATCTAAGAATGGGATGAAAATGGATATTTTATAATATTTTTCAGTTGAGCCAATATTTATTTTACATCTCAATAATGGCCTAGCTGCTAGAACGAGGTTTAATTAGTGTTATATCATAAAATTTAGCCTTCGATTCAACGTCTAGATAAATATTATGATTTATCTACATTCATTCTTATTGTATCTACCTGTTCATATATATTTTCCGTCAAATCAATAACCTGAACCAAATCTAAATTTGGTTTTTGTAAATTTCTACAAAGTAGTGAGCTAAAAATAATTTATTGATGCAACTAGCGCAAAACTCTAATTGATTAATTGAATTCAATAATGATATCGCTTCTGACGACACATTACTTTTTTTCATGCTCAGCCCTATTTAACTTTTGTATTTCTATTTCTTCTGTTCTACAAAATATAAGTAAAAATGAAAAATATTTAAAAAATTATAGATATTTATTAATAATTAAAATATTATTAAAAATACTTATTAATTCTAACTCACTAATAATTTTGCATTTATTAAAATAAATATATATAATAATAAAATAAATTATCGTTTGATTTCAATCTCTTTGACTAAATATTTTTCCATTTTATTAATATTTTTGATGTTGGAAAATTGATATTCAAATATTTGTAAAATTTTATTGGGGGGGGGGGGTTAGGGGGGGATGGGGGTAAAATTTTTATTAGCTTAAAATGATATTTATGAAAACAGTCAAATTTGCGATGAGGGGGGGGGGAATTTCCCCCTTTCCCCCCCATTGGTTACGCGCCTTGACTACCATGGGATTTTTTATTATCTCCTGGATAATAAGAGTGTTATTTTCCATTAATAAGCTTATGATGTATCTTTCAATTATGGAAGAATATTACTTCCTCTTTTATGAATATTATGTTCTTTTAGAGGATCTCCATTTATTTCTGGGAATGTGTGGCTCCTAAACTTTTATAATTTTACTCATATTTTTAACAGATGGTAAAATGCTTTTTTTTAAAGTAAAGAGTCTTGATAAATTGGTCAACTGACAAATTTTGGAAAAAATCTTGGTCCAAATGATGTCAAAATTAAGCCGGTTTGACTGTATTCATACTAGTGATCTGCATCGGGCCTAATTTTACAAGCCCGGCCCGGCCCGAAATTCTTTTCAAAAAAATTTTGCCGGCCCGGCCCGAATCCAAAATTTTTTTAAAATGTTTTGCCAGCCCGAACCCGAAATTTATTTTAAAAAAATTTACCGGCCCGGCCCGAATTTATTTAAATATAGAAATTAATTTTTATAATTACTAAAATTAATAGACATATGTTATATGGCGTTTAGTTTCAATAAATTAAATCAAAAATTTTTATTTTACATAAAAAAATCATTATAAAATTGATAAATTTAGATATATTTAAAAAAATTTCCAAGGTTCGACCCGACCCGGCCCGAATTTTTCTTAAAAATATTAGGCCCGGCCTGGCCCGAACCCGATTATTTTAAATAGAATTCTTTGCAGATCTCTAATTCATACCAAAATCCCCAGGAATTAATTAATTATAATACTTGTAACAAATGACTAAGATAAAAAAATGTTTATTTGAATAAGGATAAATCTATAAATAAAATATTAAATTTTTTAAAATTTTATCAGTAGGGAGGGATGTACCTAACCTATACCAATTGTTGTAGGTCGATTTTATCCGATTCGACATTAAATGGATATCGACCTATTTCCGATCCAATATCCCAGCTGTATTAATATTAAGTAGATTGGAAAACGTTCATTTATAGATTACGGTATTCGATTATATAAATAAATGATTTATTCTATCAATTTTCCTATCATCTTAATGTTATAAAAATTGAAGGAAATTATATAACATAATGTTAAAATGTCTTTTTATTCGCCCGGCCAATTTAAGCTAGGAATTGGTTTTAAATTTAGATTCATCTCGGAAAAGAAAAAATATTTTTTCTTCGCGAACGACCGGACTATCCAGTATCCTCCGCCCCGGAGGTAAATGCCTTCCCTATGTACTATTATACATATCTTAAAAAATCAACAAAATATTAATTACTAGTAGTTATAGGTCAAAAATGATAATTCCCTACGTTTTATGA